AAGAATTTAGCATTCTTTATGGATTTGAAAAATTCCATTTTGTCTTAAAAAAAGAAATGGAAAAAAAATTGAAAATTTATTTTGTTCTTAAAAAAAAAGATGAAAAAAAAGAAAATAATTAAAAATAAAATTGTTTAACACAAGCCAAAAAACTAAGAAATTTTTTGAACGAATGCAAAAAAATCTAATAAAGAAAAAGAAGAATAAAAAATTTCCATCTTTTCCATTTTCTTTTTCATTAAAAATTGAAATTCAAAAAATTTTTGGATAAGAATTTAAAGAAAAAGAAAGAAAAGAAACATAGGAAAAACCTTTAATAAAAAACTTTCCTGACCAGTTTTGTCTGAGAGGATAATTTCTCTCGAACGAAAAGAAATTAAAATTAAAAAGAAAAAGAAAAGGAGAACACTGTAAAAAGAAAATAATTTTCGTGGATTTTTGTAGATAGTTATTAAAAAAAAGAAGAAGAAAATTCTAAAAAAAAGAATATAGGAAGGAAATCATGAAATAATGAAAAAAAAAAAGATGAAAGAATCCAATTAAAAAAAAAAAAAGAATTTTCACTTATGTCCAGGATCATTTTTGAAAAGAAAATTGAATATCTTCTAAAGAAGAAAAGATATTGAAAAAAAAATGAAAAATGGAAAAAATAAAAATAAAATTATTTAAGAAATCTTATTCTTAAAAAAAAAGAAAAATTTTCAATTTCAAAAAAAAGAAAAAATGAAAAAAAAAAAAAAATAAAAAAAAAGAATAAAAAAAGAAAATTTTCAAAAGGAAAAAAGAAAAGAAAAAAGAAAAGAAATGAAAAAGGAAAAAGAAAAGATAAAATGAAAAAAATTGAAAAATTTTTTCATAAAAAAAAAAAGAAAAACAAAAGTTTCAATAGTCAAAAAAAATAATTAAAATAAAAAAATTTAAAATTAAAAAAAATAAAATTATGAAAAAGAGAAAATTGCAGAATCTTTTCAAAAATACAAAAGAAATTTTCAAAATTAAATGAAGAAAAACAAATTAAAAAATATCAATAGAAAAATAAAAAGAAGAAAAAGATATAAATAATTTTGATTATTTGAGAAAAATGTCTGTATTTCCAGAATTAAATAATATGAATTTAAAAAATATATATTTTTTTTGTTAATCCTAATATTTATATTATAGAAGAAGAATAAAGACAAAGAATGACATGTATTCTTGTTGTTTCATATGAATTTTTTAAATATTTTTCTCTTGAAAATATTTTGAATGAAGAAATGTTTCTGAAACTCGGTTTAGAGGATATTTGAAAAATATGATTCTGTAAAAAAAACCTGGGGTGGAAAATTATAAAAAAAATTTTAACAAAAAAAAAAGTTTTTAAAAAGAAAAATATACATTCAATTTAATAGGAATCCAATAAAAAGAAGAAAAGAAGATGGATTTGAAAAAAAAGAAGATTCAGAAGAAGAAGAGAAAAGAAGAAGAAATAAAAAAAAGAATTCAAGATCAAAAAGAAAAAAGAAGAAGAAGAAGAAGAAGAAAGAAGAATCTTAAGAAGAAGAAGAAAAAAAATTTAGAAGAAGAAGAAAAAAAAGAAAAATAAGAATAAAAAAAAAAAGAAAAGGATGAAAAGAAAAGAAGGAGGAAAAGAAGAAGAAGAAGAAGAAATAAGAAGAAGAAAAAGAAGAAGGAGGAAAAATTTAAAGAAAAAAAAAAAAAAGAAGAAGAAAGAAAAAAAAAAGAAGAAAACGAGGAAAAAAAGAAGAAGAAGAAAAAGAAAAAGAAGAAAGAAAAGAATTTAAGAAAAAAAAAAAAGAAAGAAAAAAAGAAAGGAAGAAAAAGAAGAGAAGAAGAAAATAAAGAAGAAAAAAAAAAGAAGAAGAAGAAAAAGAAAAAGAAAGGAGGAAAAGAAGAAAAGAAGAAGAAAAGAAAAAGAAAGAAAAAGAAGAAAAGAAGAAGAAAAAGAAGAAAAGAAAAAGAGAAGAAGAAGAAGAAGAAGGAGGAAAAGAAGAAAAGAAAAAAAAGAGAGGAAGGAAGAAAAAGAAGAAGGAAGAAAAAAAAAGAAAAAAAAGAAAGAAGAAAAGAAAAGAAGAAGAAGAAGAAAAAGAAAAAAAAAAGAGGAAAGAAAAAGAAGAAAATTAAAAAAGAAGGAAAAGAAGGTGGAGGAGGAAGAAAAGAAGAAGAAAAGAAAAGAAGAAAAGAAGAAAAAAAGAAGAAGAAGAAAGGAAAGAAAAAGAAGAATCCGTGGAAAGAAGAAGAAAAAAAAAACAAAAGAAAAAGAAGAAAAGAAGAAGAAGAAGAAGAAGAAGAAGAAAGAAAAAAAGAAAAAGAAGAAGAAGAAGAAAAGAAAGGAGGAAAATAAAGAAAAAGGAAGGAAGAAAAAGAAAAGAAGAAAAGAAAAGGGACAAGAAAAAAAGGAGGAGGTTAAAAAAAAAAAAAAGGAAAGAAATTTGAAGAAGAAGAAGAAGAAAAGAAGAAGAAGAAAAGAAGAAGAAGAAGAAAGAAGGAGGAAAGATTTCATAATGAAAATTGTTGAATGGGAATTAAAAGGAAAAAATTTATCCTTAAGAAGAAAAGAAGATTATCGAAAAAGAAATTTGAGGAAATCAAAGAAAATAATGGGTAGGAAAAGTAGGTGGAGGTGGAAGAAGAAGAAGGAGGAGGAAGAAGAAGGAGGAGGAAGAAGAAGATTAAGCAGTAAAGAGGGGTAAAAAGAAGGAGGTGATTGCAAAGGGGGGACATTATTTTACGTTCTTTTTTCTCTCTTGGAGATAACAACAATCATTCTGGAAGATAGCTTCGCTGGAACTGTCACTTGAAAATGGGGGAATTATCTACGAGGCCTTCATATCAGTAAGCTTTTTTAATAACAACAGATGACGACGAACACTTAAACCGTAATCCCACTTCGTTTCCCGTCTCTCAGTGCTATCGAAAAGTGGTATAAACTTCGTATAACGCTGGTTAGTAAAACTAAGCAAAACACTGAAAACTAATGGTTGAGAGAAAGTGGGTTTAATCACACGAGAAAAAAATGGACTGAAAATACAGTATCTCAGTTTGATGTGTGTCCGACTGAAAAACGCCACGTCTTTGTGACCCAATTTTTGCCACTGTTCCATGAGCAGGCATTCTCTTCATAGCGGATGGACGAGTCCATGTTTCAATAATAGGTCTAAGGCTTTACACGTTCTACCGCTGACGTGCTTACGGCCATAACCGAATTTGTATACCAAGCTCTGGATAATAACGGCGAAGCTCAAGCTGTGGCTCCTGATATTTCTAAGGCGTTTGATAGGGTTTGGCATTCTGGTCTTCTACGTAAGCTTCAGGGATACTTTATTATAAGACGATTATTTGTTTTTATCCAGTCATTCCTGTCAAACCGTGAAATGAAGGTCGTCCTTAACGAGTTCTCTTCAAGTACCTTTCATACGAACGCTTGTGTTATACAAGGCTCTATCCTGGACCCTACACTGTTTATGGTCGTCCTCAAAGATCTTGCTGCTGCCATCAGTTCCCAAGTTGGCATCTACGCAGACGACACTACCATTTACTCCTGTCTTGATAGTAAATGCGGCATTGCTGACAAAGATTGCCTGGCCGTTGCTCTCGAAAGGAACGTCCGATCTTTGATTGACTGGGGCAGGAAATGGCTTGTAAATTTTAATGCCTCCAAAACGATTGTGCTCTTATTTGCGCGCCATAGAGAAAACTCTCTGACTCCTATCAGCATGGTTTATGCTCAACTTCACAAGAGCGTCTCAAACTTGCCCTCACGTTTTTCATTGATCTGAGGTGGAACAACTTCAATGAATAAATAGCTTCATCTAACGCAAGGAAAGTTGGTTCTCTGTGTTGCACCAGAAGATTATTCTAGTCTGATTCCATCCTTCAAATGCATAAATCTACTATTCCTCCTTGCATTGAATACTGTTGCAATATATGGCTTGGTGTCCCCGCTGTTCATCTCGAGGTTCTCGATAAAAGCCAAAGACGGATATGCAATGTGATAGGTCCCGGCCTGGCATCTAGACTCCAGTCACTTTCTCACAGACGTGGTGTGGCTTCCACCAGTCTTTTCTACAACTATTTTCTCTGAAAAGCTAATTTAACTGGTGTCCCATCTGCATGAATTTAAGCGTGTTACTGTGTTGGCATTTCGGTCCCACCCTTTCAATGTGGAAACAGTTAAATGTAACCGCATCTTCTACTCCAACAGCTTCTTCTCTCGCACTTCCTGACAGTGGAACTTACTTCGTCTTATTTGCTTCCTTGATATCTATACCATACTGGGTATGACGATAATCTGCATCCGCGTCCTGGGTAAGACGATAAACTATGACCAACAGCAAGGCCTCTGATCAGGAGGTTTTGAGGAGCGTGGAACCACCTCTTAATTGTTGGTGTTCCCTGGTCCACCTTGAATAGGGGTGGTAGCACCTGTTAGAGTCCCAGCTATGGGCAAATAGTTAACCCCCAAAATGGTGTCAAAACACTATGAAAGTGTAAAAATAGGTTTTAATACCAGAAATACTTTGTAAAAAAAAATATATTATCAGAAATACATTTTTGAAAAAAAGATATTACCAGCTATACTTTTTTGAAAAAAAAAATTACAAGCGACACAGAAAAAATATTACCAGAAATAGATTTTTAAAGGAAAAAAAATTACCAGCAGTATATTTGAAAAAAAAAACTTGTCGGCATTAAATAACCCATTGAGGTGTTGATATGCCGTAAACCAAACCAAGCCAAACCAAACCAAACCTATAATCTTCAAATATCCATATGTAATGTCGATCGCCATTTCTGATACGTTGATATTGATCCGCGTCCTTCTCTTTATCCTTTCGCCAAACAACGCAATTGACTCTTACTTTCACTCTCTGAAACCCCTTGCGTGCTAGTGGTACTCCCACCTTCTTGCTTGGGATGAAAAAAAAAAAAAGAAAAAAATCAGAAAAGAAAAAAAAAGGAAGATTAGTCAGTATTTCTCCCCGCGAAAAAAAAATGCTTAAATGCTGATTTTCAAGATTTGCTCGACTTCCTCTCTTTCAACGTTATGCGTTGCATTCGATACGACAAGAAAACCAATATCTATTTCTGTATTCACAAGCGGTCACCCATCTCGATACTAGTCAGGTCGACATTTGGTGTTATTTCTATTCATTCATACGCTTTGTGTAAGGTACGAATCCACAATTAGTTTCAGTCAATCTTTATTATCTAAAAACAAAAATTTTAAAAATCCCATGATCTAACAATACCTTCTGACTTTAAATAACCTGCAAAGAATTGATAATCCGTAATAAACTATTTCTTTCTATTGTCGTGTGCTTTTAATTAAGTTCTTTTTATCGGATTTTCTTTTCTTTCTTTCATTCTCTTGCAGTTTACTGCGCTTTTGATCTGCAATATTTTTATTCTATTTTTCTTTTTTTTTTACACTAGTTTTAGATTTCGTTGTCTTTTCTTCCTTCCTTCCTTTCTTCCTTGCTTTACCTCCTTCCTTCCTTCATTTATTCATTCTTCCTTCCTTCAATCATTCCTTCCTTCATTCCTTCTTTCATTCATTCCTCCATTCCTTCCTTCATTCCTGAATTAATTCCTTCATTCTTTAATCAAGGTTCATTCCTTCCTTTTTTAATTTTCTTTTCATTTTTTCTTCCTTCATTCATTCATTTTAGATTCCTTTTCTTCTTTCCTTCAATCATTCCTTCCTTCATTCTTTCATTCCTTCTTTCATTCATTCATTCCTTCATTCCTTCCTTCATTCCTGAATTAATTCCTTCATTCTTTCTTTTATTCATCCCTTCCTTTTTGCCTTCTTTCATTCATTTCTTCCTTCATTCCTTCTTTCCTTCCTTCCTTCCTTCCTTCCTTCCTTCATTTCTTCTTTCCTTCAATCATTCCTTCGTTCATTCCTTCATTCCTTCCTTCCCCCCTTCCTTCCTTAATTCATTCCTCCATTCCTGAATTCATTCCTCCATTCCTGAATTCATTCCTCCATTCCTGAATTCATTCCTTCATTCTTTCTTTCATTCATTCCTTCCTTTTTTCCTTCTTTCATTCATTTCTTCCTTCATTCCTGAATTCATTCCTTCATTTCTTCCTTTCTTCACTCCTTCGTTCATTCATTCCTTCAAACCTTTATTCATTCCTTCCTTTCTTTATTCCTTCTTTCCTACATTCATTCATTCATTCCTTCATTTATTCGTTTTATTGTAATAAGTGATTGTTCGTTTATAAATGGAGTGCCGATCTTAATATTAACATCTTTTTGTAACTAAGCCACGTTTGTGTTTAAATGCGTAAAAATACGAAACATAACTTTATTTAATCAATCGATTAGTCATTTTATTTCTACAATAAAACTCGAATGTTTGAAAGCCAAACTATTGGTTTCTGAATCTTTTTCGCGACAAAATCTTTTTTAACACAAGTTTTTTTTTGATGCCTGAAAAAAAAACATTAAAACGGGCGATAGATCAACAAAAATGGTAAAAAAGAGATCAGGGAATATGGATGATGTGGCAATTTCTTGCATCGGTGAACACTGCAGAGTTATCTTTCAAAATGTCTCAACATTCTGTTCATTGTTTCTGGTATCGTTTTCGTTTCATTAAAAAATACTTGGATGATTAATTCCAAGGTTAAAATGCATATAACATTTCGTATAACCTCGTTAAAGGATTGTAAAAAATGATGAATCCGAAGGTGGGTCAAATAAAATATTAAGACGTTAGTAAAGGCTCTTATATACCAAAATTTTCTTTTCTTTAAAGTTTTTTCTTTTTGAATGTATTATACTTTTCATTTCTTATTTATTTTCCTTTTTTTTTTTATTAAGCCATCTGAACGTGAGTTGCAAATCCCAAAGCTTTTCTTTTAATTAAAGAACGCAATGACTTAATAATTTGCCTTCTTCGAATAAATATCATCCTTTTAGTTGTTTTTATTTGTTTAATATCCTTTTTAGATCAATCTGTAAATGGCTGTTCGTTTCTGTGGTTGCCCATAGGCACATTTTTATTTCTTCAACCCCAACAGAGTCAACAGGTGGTTTATACAAAATATACGCTGAGCTTAGTATGCGTTCCTCCAGTATCAGCTTATTTTCTTTTCTGCCCTTCTTATTTATATACCTGTTTGAAAACCATCTCTTTCTTCCTTTTTTGACCGGTTATTTAACTCATATCTGGAGGCAGAAGGGATTTTCTTTTTAATACTCAATTTATTTAGTGTATTGTATTTAAAAAACTACCAGAATTGAAACCGGTTTTTTTTGATATCCGGTTGTCAATATTTATCAAACATGGCAGAACATACGAAAATGTTCTTTAATAAAGATTAACTATTTTCTAGTAAAATGTCTTCTAGCTTCTTTCGTTTTGTCTGTATTTCATTATAAAGTTTGATTTGCTTCTTCTCATTATTTTTTTCATTTTCTTTCCACTCGCTGTACTTTTTCATTCACTCCCTCTTCATTGATTTTTTCTTCATTTTGGATTGCAATGTCTCACACCGAACTACCATCCATGACATCACCGATAATGGCTGGGAATGAGTTCGAATTCCATTCGCGATCGTTACATGCACATACGCCCAAATAACATTTGGCAAAGGTATGACTCCATCTTTTCTCGCCTCACTCAGGGATTAAATAGCAAAAAGTTTTTGGTTCTATTTTTTTGTCTAAACAAGAAAGAAGTTAAATTTTTAAAGAAAAACTGTGAATTCAAAAAATCCAGGAAAGAGTTGGGCTCTCCCAGCCTATCTTGTCCTTGACGAACTACTGCTGCTATGGTTAGAGTACATTTTATGCCTCTATGACAATGATAGGTTACGGGACACGTGATTGGGATTATTTTAGCAACCAATATAGGAGAAGGAACACTCTGAATTCAAACCAAACAATTGCTTTCATGTCTGGCTAATGTTCCAATTTGTTATACTGGAGACACACCAATGTTAAACAATATAGCTTTTAGTACATTTTATGCCTCTATGAATACCTTCATAAACTTAATAACACTTCTTATTGGGATTAATTTTTTTTAATATAGGAAAAGGAACACAATTTTTGATAATTTCAAACCAATGAATTTAATAAGTAGGGTTTAAAAATAATGCGTCTGTTTATCAATTCCATTTTTTTAAAACTGATTTAATAACGGCTGCAGTACATATGGTGCTACTACAACCCTCATTATTCGGTACTTTCTTCATTTTTACTGTATTCTCCTTCCTTTTTTTTTTCCTTCATTTTAATTGTCATTCAACATAATTTTATTTCTTTCTTCATTGCTATTTACTTTCTGTTTGTTTTTTGTGTTATTTTTGTTTTCATTTTATTATTTTTTTTTTTTTTTTGTCAATGATTTTTTCTTTAATATATATATTATCGCTTACTGATATTTATATTCATAAAAAATGTCGCCCATATAAAAAATTTCATGAAGAAACCTGGATTATCGCAGGTATTTTAAAAGCAATGGGCAAATAAATCGACACTGACATAAGTATTTATTGGTATAATTATTTGTCATCTCTCAGGGAATAAAAAAAAACCAATTTTCTTTTCAAGATTTGAACAAAGGACCCGCGCTTAAATGCATGCCATTTATAATCCGATTTTTTTTTGGGGAATGAACATAATTCAAAACAGTTTGAACGGATTTTCCAATCATATTTCCATAAATATATTTTTTTTTTTTTGTTATTAGAAACTAAATTTTTACGCTTCTCATGAAACCATAAACAGACGAACAGATATATATATATATATATATATATAAATGTTGATAGAAAAATAATTTCATCCGCTGATCGGTTAAAAAAAAGGAAAGAATCTGATCTATACATTTCTTATTTAAGCCCATGTTTTTTTTTTTATCATTATATCTATAGTAATGGAAGCCATTTTATTATATTTTTTTTTAAATTATATCTGCACAGAATACGTTTCATAATTTTCTTCATCCGTCTTTTTGACGCAGTTTTCCATTTAAAAAATTACCTTCCTTCCTTTTCTATCAATTACTTACAATTTATTTATCTAGAATAAGTGTTACAATAATGAAATCCAATTGTTTCAAATTATTCTATTGACAGATGTAAAATTCATATAGGATTGGAATGAACCCATCCTGATCCGTAACCCAGATTTTATTTTTATTTATCACACCAGCATTGAGATCTGCAGTCTGGCGAAATGTCGTCTAACTTGAAAGTTTAGGTTGACATTTTTGAATGTCTTAATTAGTTAAGTTTTTTACTTTTTATATACATTTTATAATATTTATTGTTTTCGAAATGATTGGAAAATCAATTGAATAGAATTTTATTATAAACAATTGTCTTATAAATGATTTTAAAGAATTTAATACAAAAATATTTAAAAAAGCGTATTTGTTGTAAATTCACTAACCTGTTAAAAAAAATTAAATAGTTTATTTAAACTGTTTTGAAAAAATATGTTTTATATGTTCCATATCTAAATTTTTATATTTGACAAATAAGTATATCCCTCGATATGATTTTTTTCCGATATTCTAATTTTTTCATAATTTTTTTTAATCCACAAAATATTCATTTGACTACAATTTTGTTATGTGTAAATAATTCCAGGTTAAAATTATAGTTTTTTTTTTATATCCTGTGATTGTTTATTATCTATCTATCATTCATTTCTATAATCTATCTATCTATCTATCCACACACACAATATAATATATATATATATATAAATATATATATAAATATTTTTTATATATATATATATATATTTCCAATATTTTCTTATATATATTCTATATATATATATTTGAATATATGTATAGTTTTTATTATTTTTTATCTATTTTGTTTGTCTATTAATCTATGAATATTTATACACGCACGTAAATAAATGATATCTATATTTTGATATATTGTTGAATTTTTTTTTTCTCGAATATTTCTGTCTTTTAGACTCATCTTATCTATATATAAAATATATATATATATATATATATATTTGCTTTAAAATATATTTATAAATATATATATATATATATATATATATATATATATATAATATAAATGTAAAATGGATATAAATCCGACAGAATGAAGAAAATTTTGAAAAAAAAAAAAAAAATCCTTAAATGTAGTTAAAATGAAAGAAATGTCGACGTCTGACGTTTCGGTTTAATAAACCTTTTTCAAGACAATATTCATCAAAATACAATTCAGTTCAATATGACAAATACGATGGACATAAAAACACAAGTCTTATTCAGAACAGATAACTGAAAATTTTTAAAATGATCAGCCTTCCGTCTAACATGGTCACGCTGTCGTCACATGGGCGACGCTTTCATAACGTATTCCTAAAAGTTTGTGATTATTTTGAAATGAAAAAAGAAAAAGAAAAAAAAAGAATTCTATTAGGTTCTAAAATTCTTATGTGTATGCTTGTCGAGCATCAATCTCGCTAAAAAATAAAATAAATATTAAAGAAACCAGGTCTAGTATTCACCGTGCGTGAGATGGATATTATACCTGCTTCATAAATCCTCCTGAGATTTTTATTATGAAAATATTTTAATACTTTCACGGAATCGAAATCGAAATTATGATCTGCTTTTCAGTTGTGTGTATTACTAAAAGCATTGTTAAAATTACCGAGACGAATATCTCGTTTATGTTCGAAAACACGAGATTTTAAGGACCTACCTGTTTCACCCACATATTTTAGGTCACAATTTTTGCATGATATTTGATAGATGCAAGCATCGGATGTAATATGTTGTCTGCTGGTGCTATTTAATAAACTATGGATAGTCCTAGTAGGTAATATAGTAGTTCTAATTTTAAATGCATATTATTATATGAAGAAGAAACAATCCAGCAACAAATGGTTAGGATAATATTTATTATAAACAAAAATTTGAAGAGTACTGATGGGGAGTCCTTTCATTGATTCCAGCATG